TTTAACGAAATGTTTACAATAACGCGTTGCTTATACTCATCTCAAGATTTTCATGTTGGTCTTTATCGAATAATTAATGAGGCTGCGCTTACCAATGATCACTGATAATTATATTCATATAATTCATCTTTACATATTCTTATTTGCAATATATATGCAGGATGTTTCCTGATATATGAAATTTATTGCGCCACAGCGAACACAAGACAGAGAAATAAGAGATTCGTGCAAACGTAGATACGTACATATATGTGTTTGATACAGCCTTCTTTCTTGATTTGAATTCACTTCATGATGAACTACATGTACTCTGGAAATCCCCGTATCGTAGGTTGTATCACTGTTTGATTAATATTCGCGATAATAATATATCTCGCCTCGGTGAACAAAGTCTGTGTATTAATTAGAGACACGACACAGTGCATGATATGTTTAGAAATTAGTCGAATCTCATGACCCGTAACCGTTCGCAATGCGAGTAACTTTCCCTTTATCACGCATCCGTATTCATTCATAGTTAAAACTTATAAACAAATTACGAACCAATATCCAACTGTGTTGTGTCTATAATCAGAAAATATTATTAGAACAAGCAACCTACTAATCTTGTGCAGACTTTTCTCTTATTTCCTCATTTGATTCAAAGTTCTAATATTTTCCATATATTAAGAAGCATCCTGAGTATATAAATATTCATGTATATGTATATATATATATAAATGTCCGACCATTAGTTCTATACCTTTATACGTACGTTGTAATAAAAGAAATCTTTTTTTTGAATGATTTTCCTTTGCAATTGGTTGCAAATATTACGCGAGATATATACCACTGCAAATTTGTATGCAATAGTAAATATGGAATTGAGTACAAATAAATAGCAACAAGAACAGGAAGTTATAACGCTACTCCACTCAGTCATTTTGTAACACCACTGTTCTTAATTTACGTTGTTATTACACAATAACCAGAAGAAACGTAATGCCCAGATTGTTACTTTCTTTCTAATTAGGTCAGTAATATGTATTGCATATATTGTCATCTTTTACTTCTAGATGACTCAATATGAAATTGCGAGTTGCAATTAAATCACTGTAAAAGTTAAATGATAGTCAACTATAGAAGTGCAAGATTAAATATACTTTAGACCAAACTCGAAGTGTACATTTTTTGCTTCAAAATGATTAATTTAATTAATAGTACTAAAATAATTTACTCTCATAAAAAAATGTTCAAGCAGTTCATTACGTTTCATTTAGAAGGCATTCGTATACAGTTTCGTCTAGCTTCAACGCTGTAATATTATCGATATAATCATTAAATAACATTTACTGAATCTAAATTTAATAATAAAAATACCTAAATCACAATCTGTTATGCTATCATCTGATATGATAGCAATGGACTGACATTTTCCCCAGTCTATTTTCCGCAGTTTCTTATTCTGCCAAAAAGTAGTTTCAGAATGCGTACAATTAGGACGAAGAGATCGCAGTGACAAAACAAGTTGTTCAATGACTGCAGGATAGAGCTACAATTAATGTTTACAAATGTTATGCAATTTACAAAGCTACATTCAGAAAAGAACAAAGAATCTCGCATTGTTCGGCACGCAATAACGGGAAATGTAGTTCCGTTCTAATTTTGTTATGTTAAAAGCCGATTTATGTATGTACATTGCTTTATCGTATTATCGTTAGGAATAAAACGAAAATAATGAATCGTAAATCAAAGTTTCATCAATGCGAACTCACTTGCATGATTTAATTAATTCGATATTACTAAAATTGTTATTTGTAACATATCACACTCCATCAAAGTGATAAGCATGTGTTTTATCTATATAATTTGCAACAATTCCAAATAATAATAATAACTATTGCATCTAATGAAATACAATTAACAAATATATATGAGTTATGTGAAATAGTTACATACAGTTGTCTCTCTTCGTAATTAGGCTGGCGCGGCGAATGTACCGTAGGTGTATTGTAGCTACCTAAAATCTGATTTTCCACAGGATTTATTAAAAAGAAATGTGATTTTTTTTGTTTTATATTAAAATGTTAAATTTTAGAGATAAAAATGGCTAATTAGTAGGCTGTGCACGAAGTGCTTCATGCAATGCTTGTTGTTGATCTGCTGTTAGCGCATTTATGCATGCCTGGAACATAGTCTCGTTGTTCTGGAATATAAAACACATCGTATTATGTACGGTTCCACAGCTCAAAGTACATGTTTTCTTACTTCTAACAAAAAGTTTGATTCCATTGCATTGTATCAATTAGTACCTGTATTTGTCTAACGATGTTAAGAATTCTAGCCATAACGGGATTATCTGTGGGAACTGCATCTTTGTAAAGTGCTTCTGCGAAGAAACTTATTAACCGAGGTAGGTTTGCATTATTTGGTCCTAACACTGCTATATGGTTTGCTTCAATCAAATCACACAAGTATCCATAAACATAGGGTGCATTCGTATACAGTTTCGTCTAGCTTCAACGCTGTAATATTATCGATATAATCATTAAATAACATTTACTGAATCTAAATTTAATAATAAAAATACCTAAATCACAATCTGTTATGCTATCATCTGATATGATAGCAATGGACTGACATTTTCCCCAGTCTATTTTCCGCAGTTTCTTATTCTGCCAAAAAGTAGTTTCAGAATGCGTACAATTAGGACGAAGAGATCGCAGTGACAAAACAAGTTGTTCAATGACTGCAGGATAGAGCTACAATTAATGTTTACAAATGTTATGCAATTTACAAAGCTACATTCAGAAAAGAACAAAGAATCTCGCATTGTTCGGCACGCAATAACGGGAAATGTAGTTCCGTTCTAATTTTGTTATGTTAAAAGCCGATTTATGTATGTACATTGCTTTATCGTATTATCGTTAGGAATAAAACGAAAATAATGAATCGTAAATCAAAGTTTCATCAATGCGAACTCACTTGCATGATTTAATTAATTCGATATTACTAAAATTGTTATTTGTAACATATCACACTCCATCAAAGTGATAAGCATGTGTTTTATCTATATAATTTGCAACAATTCCAAATAATAATAATAACTATTGCATCTAATGAAATACAATTAACAAATATATATGAGTTATGTGAAATAGTTACATACAGTCGTCTCTCTTCGTAATTAGGCTGGCGCGGCGAATGTACCGTAGGTGTATTGTAGCTACCTAAAATCTGATTTTCCACAGGATTTATTAAAAAGAAATGTGATTTTTTTTGTTTTATATTAAAATGTTAAATTTTAGAGATAAAAATGGCTAATTAGTAGGCTGTGCACGAAGTGCTTCATGCAATGCTTGTTGTTGATCTGCTGTTAGCGCATTTATGCATGCCTGGAACATAGTCTCGTTGTTCTGGAATATAAAACACATCGTATTATGTACGGTTCCACAGCTCAAAGTACATGTTTTCTTACTTCTAACAAAAAGTTTGATTCCATTGCATTGTATCAATTAGTACCTGTATTTGTCTAACGATGTTAAGAATTCTAGCCATAACGGGATTATCTGTGGGAACTGCATCTTTGTAAAGTGCTTCTGCGAAGAAACTTATTAACCGAGGTAGGTTTGCATTATTTGGTCCTAACACTGCTATATGGTTTGCTTCAATCAAATCACACAAGTATCCATAAACATAGGGTGCTTCGTCATCGTCTTCTACTACTGGTAGCCAAGAGAGCCTGCACGTAAAAAAAAAGTGTATAAATATTTCGTTTTCAATTTCGATCTATGAATTCTTATGTCATTCACTTTAGCAAGGATCTATAAGCAAAATTGGTATTAAAACTTACCAATGAGGAAGGATTTCGTCAACATTGATTCCTTTACTGTTATATTTAAGAATTTTTGTTACTGCGGAAATGGCATTTTCGGTAGGATTCACATTCTCAGGCGCTCTAGATTCTGGATCATTTATAACTTCCATTAACCTTGGTAAAGCTTCGGCACATGCTTGAGCAAACGCTTCTCCTCCATGCTGTCCTAAGACCCCGCAACCGTAAGCCGCTGCTTGTCGAACTTCTGCAGATTTATCTGATACATATTGTATCATTGGCCGTAAAAAGTATTCTTGATATTTTGCACATTCAGGTCCACCGTATTCTATCACGTCATCGAAGACACATAGAGCCCATTGATGGTCCGACCAGGGTCTCTCCGGACTTAATAATTTAACAAAATGTCCGCAAATTTGATCAAAGTAAGGGAAGAATGAAGATTTGTGAGTGATAAATAAAGCGTGTAAAATATCTGCTATTTTACTCAAAGTATATACATCTTCATTGTCCTCGTCAGCTAGCTGCTCTTCAACAACCTGTGATCAAACGAATTTTAAGTCACTTACATTTACAATTCAATGTCATATTAAGTCGCGACTATCAAGACGTACTTCATCATAATCTTCGTCTTCACGTCGTTCCAGTCGAGCTACCGCCCTTTCAAAGTGTTTATTAAGTAACTTATCTAATATACGTAACAATTCAGCCATAGGTTCTGCTCCTAAACAACCAGCACCGAGAGTTTCGATACACTTAGCTAACGAGTACAACAATTCTAACAGAACTTCAGATTCTGGCTCTGTGTCAATTGCTTTTAACAGATCAGGATATATGTACGCCCACATGCCTTCAACGTATTGTGAACCTACAAATCCATCATTATTTTTTAAATTTAATATAAACAGAAATCAGTATTCCATGAAATTATTTATAACTGACCTTTTATTTTTGCACAATCTAAAAGATATGGCAAACTCGCAGCAGCAGCTGTTCTGACACCATCGTGGAAATAAAATTTCAACATAGGAACCATTAGCCGTACCACTTCTTCTGCATAGTCAGCGAAGCCGTCCTTCAATTCGCGTGCATAACAGACTAACATTTCACAGGCGGAAGCTTTATCTTCTAAACCAGCCGTTTTGATTCCGAAATTTTGTTGTTCGCCAAGAGAAATGAATTCCCAGTCAACATCTTCTACACCTTCCATGTCTTCGTTATCGAGTAACGCAACTTCAGGTTTCATAGCTGCTGTGCGTAAAACTGGACCCATAACCAGTGGCAAATATTGCTCGAACTGTTTACCTATAGTTCAGTTATTATCATTTATTAGTTGTACAGTTTTATCTACACAAATCAAATTTCAATGAAATGTTGAAGTTCAGAAAGCGTACCGAGAATTTTGCAAATTCGCGTCCATGCAGAAATGAGATAACTTGTTTGCGGATCGTCATCCGGAAGATCTCCTTCTGTATGAGTTTTTAGTAACATGTCCATAACTTCACTAGCATCTGCAATGAACTGTAATCATAAAAAGTATATTTATGTAGTACATCTAAATAAGACAAACATTGAAATGGTTTATAATTCGTATCATTATACCTTGTCAGGTCCTACTGCAAGGCCTATAAGACTGACGCATTCAATTGTTTTACCACGTAACATTTTGTGTTCTTGCTGCGTAGCATTCTGAATAATGTATTTTAAACATGGCATTAATCTATCATAATATGTTACAAACTGTTCTTCGCATGTGTCAGCAACTGATGCGATAGTTGTAACGACCTGTAGTAACATTTTGTGATTAAGTACATACACGTTACTATTATAATTTCAATGATGTGCAATTAGTATATTTACTTGTTCAAGTACAAGTTTAGTGCCTTTCTCAACCAATTCTTGAAATTTGGCAGTAAGTATCGATTCTAATTTAGCCATAATTGCGTCCAGATACGGCGTTAATATATTTTTTGGGCAATCTTCACTAAAGTTTACGAGCGCTGCACCGGCGTGAGCCTGTACCCTTGGGTTTGCGTTGTCATCCAAAACCATCAACAATCCAGGTATGACTTTGTCGTGAAATTTCTTTTCGAAAATGGGTGCAAAATCGGTTGACATTTGTCCAACTGCATTGCAAGCTGCGTATCTTACACGGGGATGCTGAAAACAATAATCAATCAATCAAAGAAAGAACATAATGTAAATGAGTGCGAAGTTTGTATGTTCCAAAACTATGATTATTTGTTAATAAATAATCAACTCTCTGAGGAACAAAGAAGGACGTATTATAAATCGATATTGTCAGAACGACAATATGTTTAAATACCAAATCCTTCATTTTACTCTACCATAAATGTAACGCTATCAAATTCATACCCTGAATATTAATAGCTGACTTATTTATGGCGCTTCAATGAAATTGTTGAAATATTGAACTTACAGGATCTTGTAAATATTGTATAACTCCATCCATAATTTGAGGTAATATTGCTTCCATTTGTTTATGGCAACCTTCACCAACAGCTGATATTGCCATTAGAGCCGCATGCCTGTACCACAAATAATAATAGCATGATTCACATTCTATTTTCGTATTTTCTTATTATAGACAAGTAAGATTCGAATGTTTGTTCTAAGACTATGACAATAGTATTGTAATACTATTGTTAACTCTCATTAAAGAACATTCATCGAGAACCTCAAATTTCTAACTATCAAAACGATAGATAGGAAAAGAGTATAATCCCGATAATTACTCTATCACAGATGTAACGCGATTATTTGCATTGAGCATATAATTGCTGACAATTCTGTGATGGTGATCGAACAGTGTAACGAAAATTATTTACCTGTATTTCCAATCAGTATTATTCAACATTGAAGGAATGTTTTGTACAATCTGTGGCAACATAGTTTTGCCACCTAAACCACATGCTAGTCGATCTAAAGCGCTTTCGGCAACGACGTTATTACTGTCATTGTCATCGTCAACAATCTCGTCAGAGAAACTCCATTTCTCATCCTCTTCAATGTCTGTCATCATCTTTAGTACTGCTGGTACGAGAGACACGATGTACTTTCCGCCAACTTTACGTACCATCGCAGGAGCAGTCTCTGCCAGCGTTACTAATACTTCAAGCGCTAATTGTCTCCAAGAATCGACCATATCTTCGTTAGAAAATATTTTCATACACATATCCATTATTGTATCTAATTGCATTCTCAAAAATTTTGGTGTTGATTCTGCTAAATCAATCAACAGTTTCAAGAGAGCATCGTCGCCTTGTTTCTCTACTGATTCAGCAATCACTCGAACAATTGCTGGTAATAATTCTGAAAAATGTACTTGTATATTCTCTTCTTTGTCGTGCAAAATAATAAAAGCTCCGATTGCTCTTACTGCTTGAAATCTGACCTGTAATAAGATAATTCTACTTGTTTTATCCTATTACAATAAAATTAAAACTGCGTTCAATTTTACACGAAAATATAAATAAGTAATAAGCAATACAGATACGAGTTTAATGAATTCTGTGTGCCCCGTATCTGTCTATAAATTAAAACTTCACAAGTTACAGTCATCAGAAGGCAATCTTTCTATAGGAAGAAACTGTGACAAGAAACTTAACTAATCGAGTCTCGTGTATCATTCTTCCATATTAAATAATGAAAGTACAAAATGAAAGAACAGAAAGACATTACCTCATAATTTGCAGAATCCATGACAGATTGTTGCAACATTTGCTTGATAAGATCAAGATAATTTGCTTGTTGATTTCCAAATACTCCTGGGACGGACCTATACATTTAATATATTTAGTGAAATTTAGTGAAAACGATACACTAATGAATTTACAAAGAAAAACAAGACCGAGATCGCGAACTTACGTGAACATTTGAAGAGCACTTTCTTTCAGTGCTGGTATAGGACTGTTCGCACATTGAAATAGGAACTGCAGAAATTCTGGCCACTGATTATTACCATCTTCGTCAATTAAATTTCGTGCAACTTCAGCAGCAACCTCGCAAACCTTCCGTCGAATAACTTGCGTTTGTTCATTTTGAACAGACAACAGAATTCGTTCCTTCAACTGAGCTTGTGCTTGCGGTGGAATCTAGAGTGAGAAATATTGTTTTTGTCAACGAGCAAATCCTTTACGAACAATGACAGTACGAAATGCAAAAGGGAACACAATTTTTCATACTTATATATACTATTACAGTGTAGTATAATAGGCCCCTTTATTATTGGCAACAGTTGTTGGCATTAATTGCTGAAGGCATTATATGATTGGAAATTATCCTAGTTCTAATTTTGCTATATGTATTAGCAATGGGAGTTGAATGAATGCCTCTGGTATATAAAAATATAAATGTAATTCATTGAGGATAAAAATCGATTCTATATGATTCATTGTTCTTCGTTAATTATATCGCTAAACTAGATAAAAGAATGAGTTAAAGGTAAATAATTACTTTGGGGTAGAAATCCATAAATTCAGAAGAAAAGAGTCGACGTAATAAGACAGCAGCCATGGCTCGCATTTCTTCTGAAAGGCTGGTATTGCACAAGCATGATAGAAGGAATGTCACCTTGCTATCCACAGGAAGATTATTGTATGCATCCTACAATGTCAAATTATTGCAAATGTACTTGGCATCTTTACCTATACATATATAATAGATACATATAAAACATATATAGATCTGCACATGCACACTTATATTATGTAATTCACATTGTTTCAAGTACATTAATAATTGTAAATGATCAGGTGGAACATTTGATTAATAGAATGTTCTTACATTTAATAATGATTGCTTATACTTATAATTCAAGAACAGGTAAATTCTTAATTATCAATTATACAGAAGATGACACATCAATGTCATTTTAACATAGAGGAATATTAAATAAGTAAACAAGCACATGGGATTTAACAATATTGCATAGTCATACGTTGTACTATATGTATGGTTACCAATGCATTTATATAAAATAAATACAGTAAGAAATATTACATTCTGATAATAATAATAATAATAATAAAATTCAAGTTCGTTGAACTCAAGATAGTAATTTTCTTGTGAGTCATTCCAGGCAGGTACAGAAATGCCGGAAACCCAATCAAACACGTTGTGTGTAGGCGGGAAAGCGAAATAGAGAAATATTCAATCTTGCTAAGTAGCCACGCTATATATTACAGGTTGCTTAATACAGACTTATATTATGTAATTCACATTGTTTCAAGTACATTAATAATTGTAAATGATCAGGTGGAACATTTGATTAATAGAATGTTCTTACATTTAATAATGATTGCTTATACTTATAATTCAAGAACAGGTAAATTCTTAATTATCAATTATACAGAAGATGACACATCAATGTCATTTTAACATAGAGGAATATTAAATAAGTAAACAAGCACATGGGATTTAACAATATTGCATAGTCATACGTTGTACTATATGTATGGTTACCAATGCATTTATATAAAATAAATACAGTAAGAAATATTACATTCTGATAATAATAATAATAATAATAAAATTCAAGTTCGTTGAACTCAAGATAGTAATTTTCTTGTGAGTCATTCCAGGCAGGTACAGAAATGCCGGAAACCCAATCAAACACGTTGTGTGTAGGCGGGAAAGCGAAATAGAGAAATATTCAATCTTGCTAAGTAGCCACGCTATATATTACAGGTTGCTTAATACAGAATTAGATCGGTTTACTGGTGGCTATTATGAAAGAATTATGTAAACGGAATAAGTAAACGTGACGATGCTGTCGATAAAACGTATATTTACACAGTATTGGGACTGAAATGAATCATTGTGAAAAGTTTGGCGGGGTGTATGCTACCGCGCGACACCATTTTGGATTTTATTAGGTTGTTCTAAACACTTGTCAGTATTCACCGCAATTATCATTAGTATCTACGTCTAAATTACTCGCGTTCGCGATAAAAAAAAACGGTAAAAATTAAAATTTCGAACAGAAGGGAGATTCATTAGGAATTATCATTGAACAGTGTCCACATGCGTATTCTGACAACACGTTGGCAACGTGCATACAAAATTAAGCATTGGATTTTATCGTAATTACGTTCCTCTGGTAAAGTGATATATGTAAAATACGTGTACAAAAATGGGGAAATGTATACATACCTCCGCTTGCGTTCTGGCATCATTATCCGTGCTAAGGAGTGTGTTTAAAAGCTCTTGAAACTTATCAAGGTCTGCCGCCATTGTCGCCGAACGAATGAATCTACGGCGCACGCTCTTAAGAGTTGATCGTCAATTAATGCTGCCAACGGAGTTTCTTAAATTATCCCTAAACCTACGCTGCCAATCTTATAACCTTCCTCTAGTTGAAAACCTAAGTTGAAAACCGGCTCTTAGGTAACTAGATTTGAAATAAATTCAAAATCGAAAATTATGAAATGTGTAAAATACAACTCACGCTTTATTAAAATGCTGTCGTAAAGCAATTAGCAGATATGTTACGCATTCGCGTGCAACTTAGAAAAGGATTGAAATTCGTAATCAAGGACTTCTTATTTATAAATTATACATTTATTGAAATATTAACAAAGATGGAACATAGATAACAACACTCGTTTGAAAAGAATTTGCTATATCGTCATGCCCTTATGACGTTTCACCTTTTCAAGTAATTTCTTGAATTCCTCAGCTCATTCGATAAGGCATTAATAGCACATGGCTCAAATCCGCAATTTCCTTTCGGTGTACCAATTTATATTTTCCAATGGATGAATATAAACTATGTTACAGAATCTCATCGTTTTACCAAAATAATCTTGAGCAGAAATTTTAGCTTATATTATGGATGATAATAATAGTGCATTTCGGTATGCTATGATTGATTTATACACATTATACACATGCTTCCTAGTATCTATGCAGACGTAAACATGATTTTGCTATCACAATAGCTAATGCAATCATTGCATATAATAGCTTGATAAAATCAGTATTGGGAGATTACAACGCGCTGTAGATTCAATTTTTATTTCATCTTCCTTGTAGATCTATTCCTTTCTCGAGTGAACGAAGAACTTCCTCGTTTGAAATATATTTTTTCAGAAGAAATTTCAGATCATCACTCGTATTGTCCTGATTCTCTGCGCCTATCGTATATTTCTTTATCCTTTTAATCGCCCTCACGATGCCCCCCTCGAATCCTACGCTTTTTTCCTTTAACTTTTGATAATCTTGCTCCAATACGTTCGCCTTGTATTTTAGCTCGGAATTGATTTTCCTCAATGTGTAAAGCTCGTCCTTCAAAGCAGTCTTCTCAGATTCTAACCGATCCAATTTCGCTCCAGTTGTATGCAGTCGAAACCATAAGGACTCCCTTTCGTCCCTCAGCTTCGTCAATTCCGCTTTTAGTGCCTGAATTTCTTCTGTCGTTGTCCGCAGCTCGTTTCTCCTCTTCTCGTCTTCCGTGAAATGAACGACCAAGCTGCACCTCAAAGAGTTCACCTCCATTTTCAACGCAACGTTCTCGACTTTCAGTTTCTTCATGATGTCTATCAATCTCTCCATTTCCATTCCGGTGTCTTTTTCCGGTATTAAACTGGAGTAAGCGCATACGGTCGATGGACCGACGGCTGTCACCGCGCCTGCATTTTCCGGAGAGTGGTCCGAATAGCTCTTAATTTCTTTGTAATACAGATTCACGATCTCCAATTTGTTCGAAAGAGGTTTGACGGTGATTCCGCTACCGTTGTCTTCCGTGACTTTCGGGATTTGAAGTTTGTCCATCATGCGAGACAACTGCGCCTTGGTCTCAATGTTCTGGCTTTTCAAGTTCAGTACCTCGAATCTCAAAGACTCGTTCTCTACTTTCAGCTTCTTCAGTTCATCCGATTTCTTCGTTTTACTCGTGTGTTTACCGGATTTCGTGTGCTTACTAGATTTCGTCTCGTTCACTATCTTCCCTTGCACATTTTGTTCGCTGAACTTCGAGTCGCTGCACACCATCGATTCCTCTTCATCCACTCTTCTTGTCTTGAACTCCAAACTGTTTACAAATTCCTGTTCCAACAGCTCTTTCTCCTTTTTCAGCGTCGCATTCATCATTTCTAGAATTTTCAACTGGTTTCCCAATATCCTGCATTCGCTGTGAATTTCGCTGAGCTTCAGTTTCAGGTCTTCGTTCGCACCCTTCAGCATGCGGTTGCTCTGTTTCACCTCGTCGAGCGTAGTTTGCAGAACATCATTCTCTGATTTCATTTTGTCGCGTTCTACTCTCAATTTGTTCGATTCGACGGAACAGTATTCGTGCGTCGTTTTAATTTCATTCAGCTGATCTCTCAGCGTGGAATTTTCATCGTTCAGATTCTTCATCAGCGTCTCGTTCTCATTCTTTTGCGACAAAAGTATTTGCACTCTGCCTTCGAAGCCGGTGTTCTTTATCGTCAACGCGTTCAAATCGTCGTACAGCTTCGAATTTTCAAATTCTAATCGCCGTATCCTGTCCCCGGTTCCGTTCAATACCGCTTCCGTCTCTTTTAATTTGTTAGTTAAATTTTTCTCGCTCGTTCGGAAGTTTTGTATTTCCTCGCGCAGACTGTCCCGCTCGAATTTATATTTATCAATTTCGTTGTTGAGCGCGACGCATTTCGCCTGTGCCTGTTTCACCGATTTTTCAAGCAGTTCGTTCTCCAGTTTTAAGGTCGTCAATTTCGCGCTCAATTGTTCCTTCTCCTGTTTCAGGCTCGCCCTTTCCGCTTCCGAGTCGTTGTAATCCGATTTCAACTTCGCGAACTCCTGCGATCTTTCTTCGGTGTTATTTCTCTCGGCGCACAGTTGACAAAGCAGCATCTCCATTTTCGATTCTAAGTGAACGTTATTTGCTTCCAGTCTCTTGTTATCATCGGTGCGAAACTCCAATTTCGATTTCAGATCAGCGATTTCGCGTTGCAGTTGGACGTTGCTGTTTGTCGCCTCCTGCAGGAGCCTTGCATTTTCGATTTCCCTTTCAGCGTTTACATTTCCCGGTTCTTTGCATTTAACCCCTTCGAGTGCGTTCACCTTACTTTGCATTTTTTCGTTCTCTTTTTCAGCAGCCTGAAGGTTCTTCGTTAACTCCGTAATCCGGGCGTTTAATACCTTCTCCACGGTATCTTTCTGGCTAAGGACGTCCTTAATTTCCTCGTTCTTCTTCTGTAACGTGTCACGAATTTTTCCCATTTCCTTCAATAATCCTTCCTTATCAGTCTGGAGATTCTGCAGACCCTTCCTCGCCGCGCTCGCTTCGCGTTTCACCTGTTGCAATTGTTCTAGGTCCTTCTTCGAACGTTCGTGTTCATTCAACAGCTCGGACATTTTTTCCTCTGTCTTCTTAACCCTCCCTTTCAAACCTCTATTCTCTTCCATTAGTGTGGTAATTTTTCTCTGCGCGTTTTCGAGTTCGTTCATCCTCTCCTCCAGCAAATTTTCCTTGTCGAACAACTTCTGTTCTAGGATGTCAACCCGTTCGTCCTTCTCGTTCAACTCCGTTTTCAATCGACCGATCAACTCCTCCAACTGTTCGATTCTCTTGAACGTATCTGAACGATCGCTAGACGTGACGATCACTTCCAACTGTTTGATCTCATAACACATTCTACCGACGAAACCTTCCAATTTTTCAATGTCTTTCCATTCGTTCGAGCCCCCCTCCGCGCGACGATTCAATCCGTTCATCGTCGCTCGTGCCTTCTCGACGATCGCCTCGAGCTCCTCTATTTTACTCAAGTATTCCAGACCCTCGATGTCGCCGATCCTACAATGCTTTCTCAAATGATTGCTCTTTAATCTATCGATCTCGCCGGTGATCTCCTGCATGGTCCAGTCTAAGATCGAGAGCTGCTTGAAATCGTTCTCCTGAATGGACGGAGTACGACCGTCGCTGAGTTTCACCAATTCGACGTGCAGCTGTCTCAAGCCGACGCGCAGTTCTATGATCTTCTGCATGTACTTCAAGCAGTCCGGATCGCCCGCGGCTAGAAGCGCGTCGCGATCGTTCCTCAGCTTGTGTTTCAGTTCGTTGCCCACTTGTACAACGGCTTTAAGGTTCTCCTGGCAATTTGTATCCGACTGTGTCCAGGATCCATCGCCGTAATGCATTTTAAACTTGTTCAACTCCCCCTTCATCCGTTTCGTCAAATTCTCTAACTCGACGATTCTCTTCTGATAATCCGCCGGGTTCCCGTTTTTAAATCGCAGCATGGCCTTCAGCCCGTCGATCTCGACGTACAGGCCGTCGTTCCTTAATCGCGTCCTGTGCAACCGTTCGTTCACGTTCACCAGCTCCTCGGACAGATTCGCGATCGTTTCCACGACTTTGTTAACTATGTCGGTAAATATGATCTCCATAGTGTGGTCGACCATCATAAAGTGCTTCAACTTGCATTCCAAGTGCTCGACTTCGGAGCCGTGTTCGTGACCCTCCACAGTTTCGTTTAACCGACTCTTCAGGTACCTAATCTCGTTGTTTAAACGTTCCCTCTCCACCAGGTACTGCTGTTTGACTCCGACCAGCTTGTCGTCCACTTCGAACGCGACGTAGCCACTGCTGTTAAGCAGAACCGCTTTAACGTCAGCGATCTCCTTTTTCAATTCTTTGTTAACTGATTCCAGCCGCTTGATCTCCGCTCTTTGTTGCTCGACCAACGGGTCCGCGTGCACGGTGTCGTCCGTTTCTCTTTCGGCGACGCGCAGGGCCAGCTTCAGCCGCCAAATGTTGGATCTTAATTTCATGCGATCGTCCCGCCAGTCCCTCATCTGCTTCTTCAAGCTGTTCAGCCTGCACAGCGTGGAGGCCGCGACCTCCGCTATCCTCGTCTTTTCCTTATACGCGGTCTCATCGCTCACTTCCACCGATAGAGAATTGTCGTGACGTTCGTCCCCCATTGTTGGGCCAGTGTCACCGGATCGGGATCGAGACTCTGTCCTTGATTAATTTCAACAGGAATTTTTGTGAGAACGTGATTGCGAAGTTGTACAGTTTGGGGCTGTACTCGGTCGAGCTCATTGATTCGATTAAATGCTGAAAGCTGCAGAAATGCATCAATTTATATGAACTGTGGATATTTTAATATTCTTTTCTATAGCAGTTTCAATTCATAGGTTTCAATTTGATGATTGACTAACACAGGTAACTTATTCATTATTTAAATTACACGAACCAACCGTCTAAAATTATCGTTTTGCATTGCAAACCAAAATTCTACAAATCAAATGTTCGGACTCGTAATGTACCATATTAGAGTTTGTTAAATTTAAACAAATTGCAACGCAGGAATTCAATCTAGTAGGTAAATTTAATCATTACGCGAATAAACGATGCGGTGTAATTGTTTTCAAACGTAATATATTGAAATGAATTTCGCACGCACATGTATTTAACAGTACGCGCGTTAATTGGCATTCAAATATCACATCGATATGAACATACTTAAACGTGAAACAATTAAGAAAGAAATATTACTTACTATTAGGATAAATTTAAATTGTCTTATTTATGCTTAAAATTTTCTTCCACTGGGAATTTCGATTCCTCCGAACCTTTACATCTTTACAGAGAATTTACACGAAGATTAGTTACTAATGGTTGTGGTTATGCTGTTGACAATTCACTTGACAAATATTCTTGTACTTGTCATACAAATGACGCGCCTGTTATTTGTTTAGAACAAATTAACCTTCCAGATGATATATTCCTTTCACTAAATAGAAACGAAGATCAAATTGAAACCATAGAATTGGCTAATGAATAAATTGTTTTAAAAAAGAAAAAACTATTTTTAAATAAGGGGAAAATGTTCCTTTTTAATTAATTGAAGCATTATATAATTGTAACGAAACTTTAAGGATGTATTGGCTATACAGTCAATCCCGAAAGTTTATGTACCTTAGAAAAACGCATTTCCTATAATTAAAAAGAAATCAGACGTCGGAAGAATAATGCTAATAATAAATAGCTACGTGCTAAAAAGTATAGAAGGAAATATCCAATTAATTATTGACGATAGCGAAAAGTTTATTATACAGAAATTGTAGCCACTGATGTCTTCTACAAGAAAGATTCTATGAATTTTTCTTCTAACTTGAGTATTTAACGAGTTAAGTATGATTATTTGGCATTTTATTGATGTTGACAAAATTCGACCATCCCAGCGTCGAAACGGCGAACTTTTGGCAAAAAATTTCATTTTTCCTTAATTACTCCTAAACCGTTGAATCTACGGGAAAATTGTATAGGACCTTTCTTGTAGAGGACGACGAGATCTACAATTACCCTTAAATTGTATAATGAACGCAGCTGTAGGAAATCTTTGTAGATATTTAGGAACCTTACAAGTCTAATTGATAAGATGTGCTTTTTAATAAAATGCCCGAACTCATCCAAGGATAGCTGAAACCCTCTCAAGACCTCTTCTTTGATTTCGTTGTGCAAGTTCCTTCAAATTCGAGAACCCAATGAAATATTTTCAATGAGAATCAATTTAATTATGGCAATCGTTTAGACGGGACGTAAACGAAAAGTTCCAGTGCTTCCGGCCTAAGTTTCAATGAAAACTTAACGTAATCGATAGTCTGAACTTATTAATAAACGTTTTTAACAAAACTAAGTGTAATAATGTATAAAATCAGAATAAAAAATGATTCAAATATTTTTTTATGATAAATATATTGTTGTATGTATTTAATTATATTGTTTACGACATTTGTAAAAGAATTTTTTACATTGATTACAATTTATATTAATATTAATATTAGTATTAATAATCAATGTTTCGGTTTCATACGCTTATCGGAATTAGCAATCAATATTAATTGTTCTAGTTCGAGTAGAACGGCCTTTGTTCACTGCCGTGGGATATGGAGACCGCGCAAAAACTAATCATGACAAACAGAACCGTTTGTTTCTGTTCAGAATCGAAGTTCTTGCCCGGAAGTTTCGTAATAAATATGTGGGAGTTAATATCGAGGTTTAATAACAAAATTCTAGTGGTAGCGACCTCGGGGCGACGCACCGGGTAATTTAATTATGAGCATGGTCGGCCTGGTTATGATCGAAAGTTCCGGCTCATTTGGAAGTTTTTTACCAAATTGGACGGTAAGTGCAGTCGATGAAAGAAATATTGCAAGGTCGTAAAATCGGTCAGGTGCCGCAGTTTATATGCGGCAAATTAACAGAGACTCGTCGCCTTAATTAGGGCTATTCTTCAGTCGAATTCCTGGTAAAAAATGTAATAATCATTTTAAGCAGCATAACGCAATTATTAACAATTAGGGGTATTAAAATGGAGAGAATGCTTTGATATAATTGCAACGATACTATATCTAACTCCGGACAGGTATCTGAGAATTACAGATGGTATTCGCATTACAGAAGACCAGCTCCGTCGAGAGGGAGCGTTCAAACGCACATTTTAATAACGTGGTTGTATGTAATTACATTTCGCGAAAGTGTGTGTAACGTTATCGTTACCGCAGGACTCGCAGGAATTCCTGAAACAATCTGCGCGAATTGATTACGCGAGCAGTCACGAATTAATTAAAAAGATATTTCATTCTGTTACCGGATAACCGGTATCTCTTGAAAATCTTGGTTTTACCAGCGAGAACGGGAACGAATGCTAAAGACTTGTATCCGCGTGTTTATACAATAAATCATTGTATGCAATACTATTTTTAACTCCTCGTTTATTCATGATACATATTTATTGATTCAATATGGAGAGCCAGTTTGACGTTTATATTAAATATCGATTCTCATCAATGTTCACAATGATAACGAAAACGTGACTAACGCGGCAATATACATCAATTCCAACCTTATAAATTTAGGCTAAATGTCGTATTTTATCTGATACTCGGAGGCAGCTTTGCGCCCCGATGCGTTAAATTGTCCGTGATTCTCTTACATCGGTGATTCGGTGACACTGGACGCAGAGTGAGTAAAAAACTGTACACCAGTTTGGGATCCAAGAAGGTTAAAAGCCGATGATCTATGGGGCAACTGGAAAGCTACTTTAGGGAACCGACGAACGCAGTAAGGATCACGAATACTGTGGTCGGGAAATAACGCGTATTGATACATTTCTGAGAGTAGCAAGTCTTGTAACCTGCGGGTGATAACAGCCCTGATACAGGTTTATAGGTTTTTCATAGTCTCCGTTATGTCCCCATCCGAGCGGCTCCAGAAATTTTATATTCATCTGTTCGTTTAAGTACCCTTTTATCTTCCCCGATGTATTCTAAATTTTTTGTACTTTATCTGTTTTTATTTCAATCGTAATTATAAGCAAGTCTTCAAAAGTTTGCTACTTCTTGTAATTTATTATCGACTGGTTCTTAATTTTTGGATCTCTCGCGGACGAGGATGTCGTCGATCGGTTTCACGAGTGGCACGGAGAAATGAGCTGCATGTTTTTAATTACAGAGAACGTTAAAAGATTCCAAGCGATATGGATACGTGCCGGTGTGGGTGCAACGCAACGACGTCGATGGGATCGATGCACCCGCCGAACGAGCCGTGCTGTTGCTGCAGTTACAATCCCTTCAGCGACAATTGCAACGAATCAGAGATCTACGACCTCTCGTTTGCCCTGAGGAAGCTCGGTGTAATGAAGTGTCAGATGAAGAAGTGGCGTATGGAAAGGCTTCAGCTCGAAAGCGAAAATAGGTCTCTGAAACAAGCCCTCCAGTCATTCGGTATCGATGTATGATATTTCGTAACCGCTGCCCTCCCCGTTTCCCCTCTCCGCCGACCAATCGACACTGTGCGCGAAATTGATTAATTGGAGTTGTTCGCGGGACTTTAACTCGTTCTACTTACGAATCAGGCCGACTTCGGGCGAGTGCTCTTTTGCCTTCGCGTGTCTTTTCTTGTTTCCCGAACTGAGAACAACGAAGGCAGACGAGAAACGTTCGCCCGGAGCTCAATGTCAGTCATTCGATAGAATTAATCCTGGGAAGCTTGCGTAAAAAAAATCAATTACACCAAGTTCCCTTAATTATTGACGATGTACATTTGTAATTAAAGATTTTGTAAAAATAAAGAGGAACTTCCACGTCTTATTAACTAGAAATGTCATTTTTTTTTTCACATTTCCTGCGCGATGCAATTCATATCATTCTCGCTCTAGATCCTGTTACTAAATTCCGTAATAACGGCACGAAACCGAACAGCGTTCACGAATGCAGAGCGGATCGTGTTCCCGCTACAGGGATTTTTGTTGAAAATTCGGGTCGCTTTCTTTGAAACCGTGCACGTGCAACCGTTCCGGAATGTTTCTAAAGATTAGATGTTTTTTCGCGTGTAGGTGTAAATGCGGATGAGATATTGAAGCCCGATCCGCTGCTGGTGCACTCCCGCGAAGAAATCGAAAGACTGCAAAATGCAAACGCGGCGCTCGCAGATAAAGTGAGGGATCTCGAGGAAACTCTCGTCGAACGAGATTGCTGCGACGATCCGGACGCTACCGTTCACTTCCTAAGAGAGAAGATGAGACATCTCAGGGAGCATTTTGCGCTCGAAAAAAAAGAGTAATATATTTGCTACTTTTCTTAAATAAAAATCTATACGCTAACAGCATAGTAAAAAGAAGATCGCGCAATTGTCTTTACATTTTTTATCCCATCGCCAGTTTAATCTATTTGAGTGAACTCCTTGTTCCCTTAACTCGAGGAAGCTTTTTCATCTTGCCAGCTTACGCGATATGATATCGGATTTGAAGCTGAAGCTAGCGCAGGCGGAGGAAGACGTTAGCTGCCCGGCGATATATCGTTTAAGGGCAAAGTTGCGCGAGTTGATGAAAGGCGAACCGTCGGAGCCGAAGAGGATCGTCCAAAGATCGATCGACACGCTGGATGATCTGTCGAAGGACTGCGACGAACTGCGTTTGGAGAACGAGCGGCTTCGCGCCGAGTTGGAGGAATTGCGTCGACAGCTGGCCAGGCCTCCATCACCGAAGACCGTCGAGACGACGACCGTGCCGGAATACGTGGACATCGATGAACTGTTGCAAAAGTTGAGCAATTGCGAAGATACCGTGAACGATCTGAGGAGGCAGCTGGAAGAGAAAGACAGGATGATCGACGCGTTGAAGAAGGAACTGGAAGGGATGGTCAGCCCGAAGGGTTTGCAGGATCAGATAGAAGCTATGAAAACTGAACTTAAAACGAAAGATGATAAGGTATAGGCTCTATTCAAAACTAACGCTGAGAAACTTATTTAATCTGGTTAATGGGGTACTCGGTGGGTTCTTGAAACTAATCTTTCTCTCGAACTATGTGCCAAAACAGTTCTTAGTTTGTTTACTTCAGGAAACTTAGTACGAATAGGAAAAGTAATACTCTTTACACTGCTGAATAATATTTTTTAATATTTTATGATGCAGAAATAGTAATCGCACGGCTCGGTATGACGACTAAGATTTTTCTTTATAATCCTCGAAAATGAATTCCTAATATTTATTTCAGATCACGAACCTTCTAAATACCCTGAGACAATCGGAAATAGATTTGCTCGGTTTGAGTAAAATGCAAGCTCAGTTGGAGCAACTGAAGTTAAGCGAACAGGAACGAGATCTCGCAGTTTCGTCGCAGCTACAAGTTCTCGAAACGGAGAAGAGTCAGCTGCTGGATGATATGAACAAAATTAGAGAGGCGTTGAAGGAGAGGAACGATCAGATAATAGACATACTAGAACAGAAGAATAAGATGGAGGAGGAATACAAGAACCAGTTGGCGGCGTTGCAGCAGAAGCTCGACGAGGCATTGGCGCGTGAAGAGAATCTAAACAAGGAGATCGAAGATCTGAAGGCGCAAATAGCCAATCTGAACGACGAGCTGGAACAGTGTAAGAAGCGGAACATGGAGCTTGAAGAGTGTTGCCGCGACAGGGACGCCCTTTCTCAGAAGCTGAGCGCTCTGGAGGACGAGCTGGCGGCCGCGAAGGCCACAATAGCCGATCTTCAGAAGGCGATAGACACTTCGAAGACCGATAACGACTCGTTGCTGAAAGACCTGGACGATGCGTTGGCGCGCGAAGCGAATCTAAACAAAGAGATCGAAGACCTCAAGGCGCAAATAGCCAATCTGAATGACGAGCTGGAGCAGTGTAAGAAGCGGAACGCGGAGCTGGAAGAGTGTTGCCGCGACAGGGACGCCCTTTCCCAGAAGCTGACCGCTCTGGAGGACGAGTTGGCGGCCGCGAAGGCCACAATTGCCGATCTTCAAAACGAGATAGCCGCTCTGAAGGGCGAGAATGACGCGTTATTGAGAGAGCTGGACGATGCGAGGCAACAGATCGCTGACCTCACTGGACAATTGGATGAGGAGAGGGCGGCCAGGATGGCGTTGGAGAAGGAGCTCGAGAGTAGCCGAGATGAGATTGATAAGTTGAGGCAGGAGAATTCGAATCTTAAAGATCAGCTCGAGGCGGCTAGAGCGGAGAACGATAAACTCCGCGAGGAGGTAGAGGCGGCGAAGAAGCTGGCCGAAGAGAACGAAAGATTGAAGGCGCAGCTCGAGCAGTTGAAGAGCGAGAACGCCGATCTCAAAGAGAAAATGAAGAATCTGGAGGAGTTGAATAAGCAGCTGAAAGAGGATTACGACAACATGAAACGGGCGTTGGACAACTTGGAGGCAGAGATCAACAGACTGGTGGACGAGCTGAATAAGATGACGCAGGAGCGTGACGCGTTATTGGACGAAAACAACAACATCAAGGAGCAGCTCGAGAAAGCGTTGGCGGAGAACGATAAACTCCGCGAGGAGATAGAAGCGGCGAAGAAGCTGGCCGAAGAGATCGAAAGATTGAAGGCGCAGATCGAGCAGTTGAAGAGCGAGAACGCCGATCTCAAGGAGAAGATGAAGAACCTGGAAGAGTTGAATAAACAGTTGAAGGAGGATTACGACAACATGAAACGGGCGTTGGACAACTTGGAGGCAGAGGTCAGCAGGCTGGCGGACGAGCTGAATAAGATGACGCAGGAGCGTGACGCGTTATTGGACGAAAACAACAACATCAAGAAGCAGCTCGAGAAGGCGTTGGCGGAGAACGAGAGTTTGAAAGCAGCACTGGACGAGGCCGGTCAACAACTCGACAAACTTAAAGCGGAGAGGGACCAGTTGCAGAAGAGCCTCGATGCGATGAAGCTCGAGAACGATGCGATGAAGCTCGAGAACGATGCGTTGAAACGGGATATGAAGGCGTTAAAGGACGAGCTCGAGGATTCGAAGAGGCAGTTGGAGGAGCTGATAGCCTCCGGCGATGCGTTGAGGACGACTGACAAAGATAAGGATGCCCAACTCCAGAAGTTAGGAGAGGAGCTAGCGAATTTGAAATCTGAAAAGGATCGCTTAGGGAAAGAGAACGCTGACCTCAAGGCTAAGAATGCGGAATTGGAAAAAGAATTGCAGGACGCGATGAGCGAGGTAGAAAAATTAAAGTCGGAGATCGGTGATTTACTTGCCGAGCTGGATCGTCTGAAGAAGGAGCTGGATCGCCTGAAGAAGGAGCTGGAGAAAGCCAGGAACGAAATTGATCAATTGAAATCCGAGATGGGTACGTTGAAAGAAGCCCTCGATAAGTGCGTCGAAGAGTTGCAGAAGCTTAAGGCGGAGTACGAAGGTCTCAGAGCGGAGAACGAGTCGTTAAAGGGTTCGGGAGATAGTTTGGCCTCGGAACTGAGCCACTTGAAGGACGAGAATTTAGCCTTGAAAAATGAAATGGATCAACTGCGTAGACAGTTGGCCGACTGTAGGGCGGAGAATGATAAATTGAAGAGGGAAGTCGACGAGCTGAAAGCTGAAAACGAAAAGCTCCGGGGGGAATTGAAAGCGTGCAACGATGAAAACGCTAAACTGAAGGACGAACTTGAAAAACTGCGCTCGCAATTGCAGGGATTAAACGAGGAGTTGAACAAAGTAAGGGCTCAGCTCGCGGATTGTGAGAATAAACTACGGACTTTGGAACCGTTGGTCGCTCAATTGCAAAGTGAAAACGATAAACTGCGAAAGGACCTCGCGGCGTTAGAAAAGGAGGCGAGCGATTTACGAGCGCGACTAGACAGGGAATTGGGAGATCGAGACAGGATGCGAAACGATATGAAGATGCTGGAGGATCAGGTGCAGGATCTTAACAATAAATTGAACGCTGCTAGAGCGGAAAATGATGCCCTGAAGCAGGAGAACGAAGAGCTCAAAGCGAAGTTATCGAATTTGGAACAGGAATTGGCGAGCTTGAGAGCGGAGTGCGGGGACCTGAAGGCAGAAATAGCTGATTTGAAAAAACTAATCGAAGAATTGAAAGCGAAGATCGCTCAATTGGAAGCAGACGTGGAACACTGGAAAATGGAGAATTGCAAGATTCAGATGGAAGTAGATAAATTAAAAGCTGATCTTGAAAAAGCGAGGAAGGATTTGAATGATTGCCTGGTAAAACAGTTTCTTTTTTTAATAAACCACGGTACGTATCTTCAATTTTTATTCATATTAAATTTTTTATTAGGCTGCGAAGAAAGCATTGGAGGAACAGTTGAACCGTTTGAAAAACGAAAAGGCCGAGCTTGATAAGAAACTCGCTGATTTAGCGGCACAACTTGAAGAGCAAAAGAAAGCTTTCGAAGCAGAGAGATCGGCCAAAGCCAAGGGTGATTCAGAGTTGGCGGCCTTGAAGGCCGAACTCGATGCATTGAAGAAGGAATTAGAAAAGTTAAGAGCAGAAAACGGTAAATACAGAAACGAGCTGGACGATTTAGAAAGACAACTAGCAGCTTTGAAGAATGAACTGCAAGCGTGCAAAGATGAGCTTGCTGCGTTGAGAGACGCGAATAACGCATTACGGGCCGAGTTGGAAAATCTAAAGAACTTGAAGAACGAATTCGACAAGTTGAAGGCTGAGTTTGACGCTCTAAAAGCGGAAAATGAGAAACTTTTACAAGATAAAAAGAAGTTGGAAGATGATAACGGCAAATTGAGGGGCGAAGGCGACGGTCAAAGGGCGGAGATCGACAAACTGAAGGGGGACCTGGCCGCGGAGAAAGCAGCTGCCGAGAAATTGAGAGCAGATCTAAAAAATTGTCAGGATGAGAACGATAGACTGCAAGCGCAATTAAACGAGATGAAGAAAGACTTGGATAACTTGAAGAGTGAGAATGAACGCATGAAGAATGAGCTTGCCGAATTGAGGAAGGCGCTTGCTGCGGCCGAGGCCAAGCTGAAATCTTTGGAAGATGAATTTGCGAAACTGCGAGCCGAGAAAGAGGAGTTGCTGAACGAACTCAAACGTCTCCGCGACGAGTTGAATAATTTGAAGAACGAATTGGAGAAAGAAAGAGCGGCGAAAGACGCGGCCCTGAAGGAATTGGCTGACTTGAAGGCAGAATTAGGCAATTTGAGAGCGGCGTTAGACAAGGCCAACGCCGAGAACGAAGCGCTGATGAATGAGAACAAGAAGTTGAAAGCGGATCTGGCGGACTTGAATAAACAAGTCGAAGCGCTGAAGAAAGAAAACGCGGACTTGAAGAAAGAAAACGAACGCTTGAAGAAAGAGAATGCAGACCTCGCGGCAGATCTGGCTGACACGAAGGATAAACTGGCAGACGCAGAGAAGAGACTGAAGGACTTGGAGAATCAGAACGATTATTTGAAGAGTCGTATCGCCGATCTTGAGGATGCCATGAAAGAGCTCGATGCTTTAAGAAAACAACTGGAAGATGCTAACAAAGAATTGGCCAGATTGAGACCAGAGCTTGACAAGCTGAGGGCGGAGAACGCGAGGCTGCAAAAGGAGGCGAATAAATTGAAGAATGATTTGGATAAATTGAAAAATGATTTGGATAAATTGAAGAGAGATTACAATAATGTGTTGTCCGAATTGACTAAACTGAAGGAGGAGAAAGAGAAACAGAAGGAACGCGATGCGGCGTTGTTGAAAGAATTGGAGAATCTGAGGAAAGAGAACGAGGAGTTGAAAGATAGGAACGCCAAGCTGAAGAGTCAGTTATACGATTGCCAGGCGGAACTTGAAAGGTTGCGCAAGGAATTGGAAGCCTTGGAGAGCGAATACGCCAAGCTGAAAGGTTTGATAACTATCCTAGTAGCGTTTCAATTGTTTGATCGTTCGTTATGCAAGTTACAGGGAAAAGTGTCTTTTAGCGAAGTCACTTTGCAAATTTAAGCGCAGTGGCTAATTGATAGTACTTTAACGCTTATCTTCTCCGCTATTCGGTGTAATAACATAGTAACAGTAATGATTTACTCCTTTTGCGTTAGTTGAATATAATATGCAAAGAATAAATATATATTGCAAGATGTATCTGTATAAAGCAGGATACATGTTTACGACTGTTCCTGTTCCTAATTTTATTATTTCTTTAATGCTTTGATTATCTTGAAAAAAAATTGCTAAAGACTTATATGGATAGAAAGAATTGAAAGATATTAAATACATTAAGATGTTCTTATTTAAAATCCATGCGGATCACTTTGTACTAGTAGTACGAACTCAAACTTGTCCTCGGGCTACCGCGTCATTTGATTATAATGTGTCTATTGTTATCATACAATTTTCATTTCACGAAACTGTAATTACATATTGTCAATGAAATGAATACAGATAAGAAAGTGGAGGTGAAGGAGACAGAAGTGGACAAAGATATTCTGGATGAATGCGGCGACTTCATTAAGGCGAATGAATTATTGGGGAAGAAATTTGAAAGGCAGAACGAAGGTAAAAATTGAATGGGAATTTTTTCTTTTCCTCTTTTTTTTTTTTGAGTAAAAATATGCAAACCAGTTATTATGATTTTATCATCTCTGCTGACCGAGGATCGGTAAACGTTGCTTATGAATGAAACTGAATGCGGCCATTCAGAACTTTTAATTAGTGTTGCATCCGATACGATTTGAATAAGTTTTATGGCTACACAAATTTCACGAACGCTAGACGTAAATAAAACCGATGGTTAAGCCGGGAGCAATATAAACGAAGACTTCATAAAAATAAGCCGCTCTCTGTCCAACGTCACTGAATGACGTTAATGCATTGTAGACGTAGCATTTAAAACTGTTTTCTATTATCAACATTTATAAATATATATTCTTCATTACGTTGTCAACTGATATAAATAGTCTCCCTCGTCAGAGGGTAAAAATAAGAGACAAGTGAGGGAAAAGTTCAAAGTTCATCAATTTTTGTCTCACGTCTACTTGCTTCCGCTTATTGTTTAATCAAAATTTTTTAAGTTGCCTGCAACGCTTGTATAATTTTATATCAGTTCGTTCATTTAATGATTAAACTGTCTTTTAATTCGAATTACAAACCATTTTTTTGGAACGTTCAAACTAGGTGTCCAGCGTGTTCGCGATTACATTCAATACCTGGAAGGTAAAGGAGAAGAACCTCAGTTGGCGGATCAGTTGGACGAGGAACCAGAAATTGATCCAGAACTGAGAAAAGAGATTGCAGACTTGTTCGAAAAATCTCAGGAGCTCTCTAAAAATATTTATGAGACAGAACAGGATATACAAAAGCTTGCTGATCTACTGAAAGGAGTAAGCTCTATCTTTAAGAACAGTATTCACGTTCTAATTATGTATATATTTTTTGTAATCTAAACTTTATATATTATTTATATGTTTTATTCAACTGTTAATACATTAAAAATATAATATACAGGCTGGAGCTTTCGATCCGGACTCCTGGCTAAATGTAAGTTGCAAAATAATATTCACTACTTTATTAGAGTTACACTACTACTACTACTACTACTATTGATTATCAAAAATTTCTATAATAAAACATAATTCAGAATACTGATAAAGTGCTAATGAATAATCCTCAATATATCTTCTATGTATGAACACAATTTCTATAGGTAGTATTATGTCTTACAAATATTGTCAACCATTGATACATTGTGTCATCGATGTTAGCTATCTTATGGGAACCGCGATATTTGATGTAGATTAATGATCAAGCTTAGCAAGTGAATGAACATGATAGATTTAATAAATCATTCCCCGTCCCGAGAGTTATTAATAAATGCCTTCGTTCGATTAAATCGCGCGTTGGCGAGCTGTCCTTAAACTAAAAATTTAACAAATGGAATTTTAAACAAAT